CGTTTGTGGGTGGGCCGGGGGAGGAAGAGTCGTTTTCCAAAAGCCAGAAGTTGCCCTGCGTGGCCGGGTGCGCAGACCTGCCGGTCCAGCGCTTCTCCCGCCCGGGCCCGGCAGACTTCCTGCCCTGGTGGGGCGCCGGGAGTATGTCCACTCCTCCCAGGCCGGGCCTGGAGGGCAGCTGGGGCCCGTCCCCTTCCCCACGATGTGGAGACCTTACTGAGCTGGGGACCCGCCGCCAGTCTGAGCACCGCCCTCTTGGGCAGGGGCGGGGCAGGGCTCTGTGGCCCCAGGCCCCCACATTCACTCCAGTCCAGGTCCCAGCTTTGCTCCGATGGCCACTCTTGGCTGGTGTGAGCGCCCGGTCCACATGAAGGGCGGTGGGGCGGGAGCCCCCTTTCTCGCCCTGTGGCAAGGGCTCTGTCTGAAGCCTAGCTCCGCTGGCAGAGGACCGAGCCTTGGGTCATGTTAAGTTCCGACTTAAACAGTAAAGATAGCAGTAGCAGTACCGGACGGATGTTACCGTGGGACACTGGCGAAAGCGTGCGCGCCTTGTAGCTCCACCTGCAGGCTGGCCAGAGCTGCCCACTGGTGGGGCTGGAGCCCTTTCCTCGGACACACCACCCAGTGTGCACACTTGAGTCCTACAGCTGTCTGGTTCCACCTGGCCCTGGGCCTTGAGGACTTGGCCAGGTCTTGAGGGCCGCGCCCACTCCAGATCGGAGCCTGGGCTCCTCCCTGGGGCGCCCGGTGCTGGCCACTCTTTGGGCTTTCTTGGTGCCCTTGCCTGTGGCTGTGAAGCCTTCTGATTGTCTCTGAGAGGAGTGTCCTTTCTCAGCATAACTTGGATGGTGGGTGCCTGCTGACCCCTAGCATTGTGATTGTCTGAAGTCATGCCCCTTCCTCTTGTCACTCTCACCTGGATGGCGGGGATCTCCCAGCCCCCTGGTTGGTGGGGCCCCTGTTTCCAGCCTCACATGGATGGTTAAGGTTGAGGTGAAGGTTAGAGCCTGCTGATCTCCAGCCCCTGATTGCCCGGCAGAGGCATCCCTTCCCAGCCTCGCCTGATTGATTAGGGAAGGGGGTTAAGGTTAGGGCCTGCCTGTTTTCAGGTTTGCTGACGAGGTGGGCACGAAGGCCTGGGTGAGCTATGTGCTGGAGTCCTGCTCCTGGCCTGGGGGTCCTGCAGGGCCTTCTCTGGATTCCTCTGTTGGAGGAGCTAGCCTCAGAGTGGCATCTGGAGCACAGTGGTTGGGAGAACGTGCCAGCTGCATTTCCCAGGACACACAGCTGGTGACATGGGAGTTGGGTTTTGAGGGGTGTCAAGGAGTTGTCCAGCAGGGAAGCAGTGGGGGGAGGCACACCCGGTCAGTAGCCAGAGTGTCCAGCCAACATTGGTGGGTGGGCTGCTGCTGTTTGGGCAGTGCCCCCTGCCCTGATTTCTTCCTGAATGTCTTAATTATTGATCGGTACCCACCCTGGCCTGGGTGCTGCTGGAGGCTCTCTCTGAGCCTCTCTTTGTCCCCTGCCCAGTGCTGGGCATGGCGAGGCCAGAGCGCCTGGGATCTGGCGAGGCCTGATGAATGAGCCGGATTCAGACGGGCAAGGCCGCTGTGGTCTTGGGGTTTTCGTGGGGAGGCTACCGTGCTGCCCGGCAGCCTGCGCCTCACTTTTGATTGGAGCCTGTGCTCCTGGCCTGCCCTTCCTTCGCCAGGGTGGACCTTCTCTCCTTTTCTCATCTGAGGGTCCACACCCTGCCCTGGAGACCCTGCCTGTGGACAGAACCCCCGTGAGCTGAAGTAGTCTGAAGGGCTACCTGGTGGAGGTGGCCTCTTAGCTGGCCGGGCAATTTGGGAGGCCTTTGGGGAGTGATTCCTTCAAATGTTGGGACACAGGGGTGGCAATGAGGACACCAGGGGTGGCAGTGGGACTAGGGCCACAAGAGGCTATCGTGCTCACAAGGGCACTTGCCGGCCCCGGCCAGCCGGAGGAGCTAGCTGGCATGCGCCTCATTTCGCCCTTGCCTTCGCAGTGGCCGTGGGCACCTGCTGGGAGACCCCGCCCAGGAGTACCTGAATGACCTGGGCCCCGCCAGAGCCCAGCACCATGAACGACGTGGCCATCGTGAAGGAGGGCTGGCTACACAAACGAGGTCAGTATACACCCAGGGGCCGGGGTCCCTCCCCACAGACTTCCAACAATGCTGACGTCACTGGACTTCACCTAGAGACTGCCTGGTCCCTGCTCAGCTTGTGGGCATGGAGGGGCCCTGGTGGGGCTGTGAAGCCAGCTGGCCTGCCACTGGGCAGGTGGCACTGAGCAGTGAGGCCAAGAGCTGCCGGCCTCGATGTTCCTGGAAGCCTGTGGAGACATGGGCGCTCTGCACCTGGGCAGCTGCCCAAGGGCTTCTGAGAACAAAGCGGGGCTGCTGGCTTGACCAGTGCTGGCCCAGGCCGGAGGCAGGACTCTGCAGCTCCTGCGACCAGAGCAGGGGGACCAGCGCAGGGCACCGACTGAGACCCTCTTCTTCCTGTGGTCTCCTGTATGAACAGAGGGCGGCCTGGGCCCCGGGTAGTAGGAGCTGAGTCCCGTCCATGCTCGCCTGTGGCCTTTTCGTCTATCCCTGCTTGCTCCCAGGCTGGACCTGTCTCTGGGTTGGTGTCTCGTGTTCAGGTGCCCTGGGTCGCTGCCCCTCCCCTCCCACATGCAGGGACCATCTGACTAATTCCCAGTGTCCTCTTCCCATGGACCACGTCCCTCCGCATGACCCCTCATCAGAGTACCCCCACACCTCCCACCTTCTCCTGGAGACTCCCCGAAGGGCCCCCTGTGTGGAAAATACAGACGCAGGAGCCGCTGTTGTGAGATGGGGTTTTGTGGGATGCCTAGGAGTTTCCCAGTGCAGCCTGAGAGGCTGTAGGAGCTGGGGTGCCTGGAGCAGGAGTAGTCAGATGAGACTTGGTGATGAGGGCTGCCTGAGGGGGACTGAGGATGTGGTCACCATGCTTAGAACTCTTAGTCACCACAGGGAGCATGGTCTCCTGGGCTCCAGGATGGAGGTGGGGCTGCAGGTGGAGGTCCTGGGGCACCCTGCGTCTGGCCCCCTGAAGACTTCCTGCTTCTTCACCTCATCCCCCCAGAGCTGCCCCTCCTCACTCCCAGGAGCCCTTCCGTCCCCACAGCCCCACCCCTGCCCCCTTATGATCTGCTGCCTCCTGATCCTCTGAAGATGTTTACTGACGCCTGTCGGATTTAGGGCTGGCCCAGGGGAAGCTGGGAGTCAGGCTGCCCTTGGCGTGAGGGCACCAGCTGGCTGTGCGGGAGTGTCCCCTGCGGGCGGCCACGTTCGTGCTGTCCAGAGTGGGTTGGAGCTGGTCCCTCCAACTCACCCTTGCGGTCATCTCCAGAGGCAGGACTTTGGGACCTTTTGGGGAGACATGCTTGTGGGGTCCTATGTCGGAGTGCACTGGCCCCACAGCCTGAGTCCAGTGCTGGACTATGGGCAGCCTCTGCTGAGCCAGCTCCCAGGAGTAGAGGGCAGCACTGGGCGTGGCCCACTGAGGGCGCAGCCAGAGTGGGAGGTGTGCTGGCCATGGAGGGGACACGTCCAGGGCAGGCTTCCTAAGCAGGGGTGGCCCATGGTCCGCAGGTGGTCTGATCTTGGGGCCCTCTGATTCTGTGCTGTCCTCGCACGCCTGTGTCTGCCTGTCCATGCATTCTGCCAGCGAGTCCTGGCCGTGCTGCCTGATGAGGAGACTGGTCCTCCAGTGAGCATCTGGTCTGTGCGGAGGGCCAGACAGGGCAGCGCCTCTGGCTCCTGTGGTCGCTGCAGGTCACTGGGAGGATGCTGTGCTGGGGGCACTGAGTGGGCTTGGGTTAGTAGTTGGGGTGGAGGTAGGTGACGGCGTTTCTTGAGATGTGAGACTTGGAGGAACCCACCTTTGGGGTTGGGTAGAGGGGTACACGGCTTCCTTGTGGCTTTGTTGAGAATGAGAGGCCAGGTAGCAGGGCGCTGTGTCACCTGAGCAAACCTGAGACAGAGAGTCAGTTAGTACCCCCAGACCCCCCACCACCACTGCCAGACACCAAGGGCCATGCATAATGGGACTGCTTCCTTCTGTCCTGAGCAGACTCTGGGAGGTTCTGCCTGTTACCACCTCCAGGAAGCCCTCCTGGTTCTGCCTCAGGCAAGTCTTCCTCCTCGTGACATGCCCTCAGCTCAGCCCCGCTGACCCTTCCTGCAGCCTGCAGGCCTTGGTCCTGGGTCAGCGTGAGGACAGTTGGGGCGATGGGCTGCAGTGGTTCCGGGGGACCCACAGTGTGCTGGCTGTGCGGACAGGGGAGCTGAGGCCTTGACCAGGCCCAGTCCATCCCTCACAGAGCCTGAGGGGCCATGTCACTCTGTAGGATGTGGTAAGGGGCGGGGGCCCCATCGTGGGTCTTCCTCACATGTCTGTATGTCCTCCCAGAGCCCACTCAGCACAGTCTCTGGCACAGCGAGACCCCTGCCCGCTTGGTCCCGGGCAGAGAGGGCTCTGGTTGTGTGGTTGTGGGCACAGTGCATCCTCAGTGCCCTTCACAGGCTGCGTCACCCCAGCCAGCCTGGCATCCCCGCGTGGGGCAGGAGGTGCCCTGCTGGCCCCTTGTCCTGGAGGAGATCTGGTCTGGTGCCCATGGGCAGGGTCGCAGAGCAGTGCTGGGGGTGTGCACGGGCTGGCTGTGTAGTGGGCCATGACCTCATAGACCAGCAGATCAGGGGGCACCTTTGGTCTAGGAGCTTGTCCAGGGCAGCTTTGGAACCTGCTGTCCTCAAAGGTACCTGGGGAGTTGGAGCAGAGCTAGGCCTGAGAGGAGGAGATGCTGGGGTGGCAGGGACCATGGGCCCCATTCATGATGGGCAAAGGCCACCTTGGCTGGGGACATGGGTGCAGGGGGATGTTGGTACTGGGTGAGGGTGTTGGGGTGGGGTTCAGGGGTGCTGGATGGCCATGCTTTGTGGCTTCCTGTTGGAGAAGGCCTGAACTCCTTTCTGAAACAAACCATGAAAGAGGAAGAGGCTCTGGTACCCTGATTGGGGGTGGGGTAGCACCCGCTACTGCACCTTCCCCCCCCCCAGGGGCACCCAGCTCCTCAGCCTCCTCTTTGTGGCCTCCAGTGAGGTCCCAGGTGGATGGGAACGTCCCACACCAGACCCCCTTTCTGAAAGGCGGATAGTCGCATCATGTGGTTCCTAGAAGGCAAAGGAGCCCAAAGGACCCTGGTTCTGGCAGCCGGCACCCCTCTGGCTGGCATGCCCTGGCCAGGCGTCTGTGTTCTGCCCCAAGGTGTACCTGCTCTGGGACACTCCAGAGACCCTCGGGTGGGCAGGGGCTGCAGTTCTGCAGTGGCGACGGCCACTGAGTGTCCACCCCGCCTTGCCCTTGCCCCTGGGCTCCCGCCAGCAGCTTTGTGGGGACACCTGTGTCCACATAGAGTGCATCCCACCCCATTTAGGATGTACTGTTCTGGGCCCCAAGGCTTGTACAGACACAAAGGTCAGATGTTCAAACCCTTCAGCTGCTTTGTAAAAGAAAGACTGTCAGGTTCCTGCCGTGGAAACCCGGCGAGGGTGAATCCGAGTCCGTGCTGACCTGCCAGGGGCTGGCATTGGGGCTTTGGGCCACAGCGGTCCTGCTGTCTTCACTGGGCAATTCCCGGAGACACAAGGCTGGGAGATCTCAGACCGGAAATGCCAGGCTGTGGTCACGGGTCCTCAGGAACTTGGGTCAGCCTGTGGCCGCTGTGTGAGACCCTACTCCCCCCAGGGTCAGCCAGCACCCAGATCCACAGTGGGGTAAGGACCCTTCTGTAGGTGAGGGACTCACCCAGGCCAGCTGCTCAGAGGGGTCTGTCTGGCCTTGGCTGGGACAGACTGGAGCCCCACCTTGGACTCGAGACTTAGCAGGGAACAGATTGAGGGGGGCGTCCTGGTCAGGATCCCGTTGTCCTCACGTGGGGGTGGTCAGAGCCCAGGTCATCTATAATGGACGAGGCTGCTGGTCTGTGGGCCACTTTTCTGGGGATGGTGTGGGGTCCCTCCTGGCCCACCCTGGCCTGACCATCTCCTGGGACATCAAGTGCATGCATGCAGCAGTCAGCTGATCCGCGTAACTGGGGTGGTGAGCGGAGGACAGTGTGGGGGCCGAGGGTCTATGCGAGGGGGAGGGGCAGGTCAGCGCCACCTGGACACATGCTCCCAAGTCCAGCCAAGGTCCTGCAAGTGAAGGGCCCCCCAGTGGTCAGGACCACTTCCCACGGGAGCTGCTCTGGACTTCTGCTCAGGCCAGGCCCATCTGGGGACCCCTTTCCACACAGACTCTTACTTCCTTTGCACAGGGGTCACTGAGATCTGTCTGAGGGCTTAGAACAAAGGTCTCATCCTAGCAGAAGTTCTGAAAGTTCTGGAGGCCCAGGGCCCGTCCTGCTGACCAGAGCAGTGTCCCTTCCTAGGCTGTGTTAGCTGTGGCTGCCACCACCTGGTCTTGGGACTTCTGACCCGGCTCTGCAGGCCTCGCCCCCATGGCCAGGTGTGATCGGCCAGCTGAGTGTGTAACCCAGGGAGCTGCCAGGTGGGGCTGACAGGTGTAGTGAGGATGGAGACAGGTGAGGTGGTGGGGGTGGCTGTGCTCCCGGAGGCAGTGACAAGGGGGAAGGGACAGAGTCCACGCAGACCCGGGACGCTGGTGCAGAGTGAGTGGCTGGAGTGCTTCTCAGGGTGTCTGATGTCTTGGGAGCAGTGGCCTGATGACGAGCCCCTGGTCACTTCAGGGCAGGTCTGAGGGGAACCTGAAGTGGTGTCTGGGCTGGCAGGTGGAGGAGAAGGGGCAGTAGTATACGACAGATGATCTGGGAGGCTGCAGCTTAGAGGAGGTTAAAGGATGGCTGGCAGGGACCTGAGGGCCAGAGGTGGGCAGTCTAGGCCGCCCAGTGCCCTCCCCACATGGATCTGCTTATGGGCGCATGACCGCAAGGAGTGGGCACCTGGAGGCGGAACCAGACACAGAACAAAGCTCAGGTGGGCCGCACTTCTGGGTCCTGGACCGCAGCTGCCTCCCTGGTCGATACCCACCTCTGTAACCGAGTGTCACCACAGTTGGGCCTCAGTTTCCCCACAGACCCAGCAGGTCCTGACCTTATTCTTGTGCCTGCCAGGCGTCTTGAGCGGATAAGCATCTTTGCTGGTGTGGGTGGTGTCCAGGCAGCTTCTCACATCCCACCTTGTGAGCGCTCAGGGCCGGTGCAGCCCCGGAAGGCCCCAGGTTGGGGTTGTCCAGCTCAGGGGCACAGCGAGTGTGACCGGCAGCCCTTATCTGGTGCTGACCATGGGACTCGAGGCTGTCCCAAGGCGGCTGTGTCCAGGTGGGCGAGGGATCATGGGGTCACAGTCCTGTACGTGACTGTATCAGTGTTTGGGGACCAAGGTGCCCGTGTCCAGGAGATGGGGGACAGATATGGCCTTGTTCATGTGGTGGGGGACCGAGGTGAACACTACCTTAGAGGTGACTGTGTCTTGGGTGGTGGGTGACAGGATGTTGCAGTCAGAGGTGACCATGTGTGTTCAGGTGGTGGGGGACCATGATGGCCACAGTCCTGGGTGGGGGACCACAGTGGCCAGTCTCGGAGGTGACCATGGAGGGTGGTAGGTGGCCGTGAACAGGGCTGCTTGCTGTGTGGCGAAGGTGAGGTGAGGCCGCCTGCTGCTGGGGAAGGGTGTGGAGTGGCAGAGGGCCATGGTGGTCGTGGTCAGCTGCTGCTTGTGCCCGGCCTGCTGGGCTCACAGCGCTGTGCACAACAGCTCGGGGCCGCCTGGCGTCCTGCCAGCTGTACTGTCACCACCACAGTAAAGTGTTTATCCAGCAGTTTCCTGAATGCAGCACAGGGACGTGGGGCGGGCAGTGGGTGCAGAGGACACAAGGCTGAGGGTGTGGAGCCTGGGCATGGGGCCGGGCAGTGCGTGCAGCACAGGGTGACGTGAAGCCACACCATGGGATGCGGAGGACGTGAGGTGGGCAGTGGGTGCAGTCCTGGGGGACATGAGGCCAGAATGTGGGACTGGGATGTGGGGTGGGCAGTGGGTGCTCTGCGGGGACAGGCTGGGCACAGGCCCCTTGTCTCCCTGCCACCTGGCCAGGCTGGCTGCGTGTTTTTGGAGGAATCCCTCTCTGAGGCTGAGCTGGTGGGAAGGTCCCACCGGACACAGCAGAGCAGGAGGGGACCGAGTAGTCTGCTGCCCCACATCCTCGTATCTGAACCTGTCAGGTCGCCTGCTGACTCCTGGGCACACTGTCCCACTGCCTGTCCGGGGATGGACCCACAGAGCCCCTCCCACCACAGTGGAGCCACATGGACACTCTCAAGTCCCCTGCTTGCTCTGTCCACTGTGCTGCACCAGCCATGAGGCAGGGTTGGAACTGACCTCTGCACTGATGACCATTGCATTGCCCCCCACAGTAGATGGGATGGTTAGCACTGCCCACAGGACCCAGGTTGTGTGTGGGCTCGTAGTGAGTGGATAGCTACGTCTCATGGTATCGCAGCCCCACAGCTGGACTCTGCTCCTGCCCTCACACAGTAGATTCGGGTGGGGTGCGGCGGAGCAGTGGCCCACGAGAATCACTCAGCACCTCCGTGCTCACCCTGAACTCTTAGAAGTTCAAAGTCTCTAGTCTGGCCCAGTCCCCCAGGGTGGTCCATTCCCCCGATCAGCTGAGTGTGGGGTTTGGGAAGGGAGATTGCTCCCCAATTGTGGCCCTGGAGTGGTGGACAGGGACTAATGAGCAAGGCTGGCACTTTTGGCCAGGAGGGGAATTTGGGGAAGGAAGGGGCTGGGGTCCTATGTGGACTTGCTGGGACACAGGCCATGCACAGAGCTCCGCGGGGCCGGGGAGATGGGATGTGGGGTCCGTGCCAGGGTAGGGATTGGGAGCCATGTGCCAACATGTGGCTCCTCAGTCATGATCTGCTGAGGCCCCCACTCATCTTGCCTGGTGGGGTACAGTGGGGTCACTATGGACCTGGCCTTCTCTGGCCTCAGAGTCTTGGAGCTGCTGGGTGAGGAGACCTTGAATGCATGACACCGCACCCCATTTGCCTTATTCAGCTCCAGAACCTTCCTACTCTGGGCCTGGACCTGATGCAGGTACATCACAGGATGTGGTGGTCCTCTCTCCAGCCTGGCAGTCCTGTCCCTGGCCCCAGTGCCTGCATCTGGCAGCCCTCTCCCTGGCCTTTTGGTCCTGGAGGTCTTCTCCATGTCCCTGACCCCAGTCTGGTGGCCCTGCTCCTGGCCTGGTGGTCCTGTCCCTGGCCCCAGCCTGGTGGCCCTCTCCCTCTCTCCCCGGCCTGGTGGCCCTCTCCCTCTCCCCCCGGCCTGGTGGCCCTCTCCCTCTCTCCCCGGCCTGGTGGCCCTCTCCCTCTCTCCCCGGCCTGGTGGCCCTCTCCTGGCCGCCCGCGGGGCTTGGTGGGGGCTGAGCAGTTGGGAGCGTGCAGTCGGGAGGGATCTGGCAGCGTGGCAGTGGCTCATTGCTTGCACGGTTAGCGTCCTGGGGTGCAGCAGCTGGCGGCAGGGGGGGCACTCCATCAGGGCCGACAGCTCCAGACTGGCGCCAGGCGGGTGGGAGCGAGGAGCGGCAGCGGGGGGCTGCACCCCAGGACAACTCTGCTTGCCCCACCCAGAGCCGCAGCTTTGGGGGGCTGAGGGTCTAGGCAGAAACTGGAGCCAATAGCCCCAGCTGGCCGGGTCTGGCCAGGGCTGTGCGGGCCTGGATGGTGACAGCCTCTGATAGTGGGGGGCTCCTGCAGCCATCTCCCCCTAACCCCTAGGACCTCCGTGGGCCCATGCACTGCCAGGCTGGGGGCTGATCCCTGTGTGAGCTGATGGCACTTGGCCACCCACCTGTCTCTGCCACCTGGTTCTAGGGCGGACACAGGAATCCTGGAGCCCCAGCTCCCAGCACCCCTCTGATGGAGCCTTTGAGCAGCAGGGTGCTCACATGGGGTCTGGGGCCAGCAGGGACAGTCCCTAGGCCAAGAGGCTTCTCCAGTGAGGCTGACCATGGGCTCCCACTGCGCCTGCGTTCTCTGCCTTCCCGACACCTGGGGTTGGCTCCGAGGAGGGTCAGGGGTTCAGACAGATGTGTGGTTGGAAGGGGCCCGTGGGGAGGCACCTAGGGCCTTGGGGAGAGGGGCGGGCTGCAGTACACCTTGCCCTGGAGAGTGACCGTCCAGCCTAGGACCTGTGACTCTTTGTGGCTGTGTGCTTGGGGGCCCTGTTCTCCTGCCCAGCGGCCTTTCTGTGTATTAGGGCTGGCCAAGGAGGTTGGCCCACCAAGTGGTTGGGTGGACAGCCAGGGCTTCTCTGCCCCAGACCACGTCCAGCGCCCCCAGCCTCCACCAGCGGCCCCTCTGAGGGAACTGTGTCCTAATTACAAGTTCCCTGTTGCTCAAACTCCTTGCTCGGCAAAATGTAAATGGAACGTTTTTTTCCGGTGTCACTATGAAAAATGATGGTCGCTGGAACATTGCAGAGGACATCTGCCTCACTCCTCGTGAGGCAGGGCTGTTCACGGCTGATGTGGCAAAACTCCAGGGAAACTTTCCTCGTACCTCGTGGCCCGGCTGGGACTCTGCCTGCTCCCCAGGCAAGACCAGGGCTCGTGGACTCTGGATGAGGCCACTCGAGCTGTGGAGCCCAGGCCAGGTCACCGGGCCAGCCCCCGACTTGTTCCCATGTGGTGGTCTTGGTCCCACCCACGACTGGCTGCAGGGTTGGCAGGTTCTTGGCCCCCAGGACTGGGTGGGTGGCCAACCTGTGCTGCTGGGACTGGCCTCTGGGTGCTGCCTCCTCCAGGAAGGACTCCTGTGGGACCTCCCCCACCCCATGCTGGTCCCACAGGAGTGCCAGTGGTCCTACAGGCGGCCCGTGTCCAGCACAGACAATGGGGGCTCTCTAGCAATGCCTTGGAGGGCCCTGTGCCAGAGTGGCGGGTCACCTGAAAGTGGCCTGACAGCTGCCAGTGCTGTGGGCGGGTCCCGGAGGTTGTGCGGGCCCCCCTCACCTGCCTTTCCCCAGGTGAGTACATCAAGACCTGGCGGCCACGCTACTTCCTGCTCAAGAATGACGGCACCTTCATCGGCTACAAGGAGAGGCCGCAGGACGTGGACCCCCGGGAGGCGCCCCTCAACAACTTCTCTGTGGCACGTAAGCGACCCTGCCTGGGCCGGGGCTCTACAGGACCCGGGCAGCCAGCACCATCTGGCTGGTTCTGCCGTGGCTCAGGCCAGCACACTGACCATTCATGCTTTCAGGTCGGGGCCTGGCTGACAGTGGCCGGAGGGCTGACGCAGGACGCAGTCCTTACGCTCAGTAGGGTCAAGCACAGTCCTTGTGGGGACTCTGGAGATCAGGAAGAACATGCTGGTGCTCTAGTCCCAGCCTTCCTCAGAGAACCGGGGGGTGTTGAGCTGACCACATAGTCCTGTGGGGCTGGGGTGGCGACACAGCCTAGCAGCCTCTCAGCCCTGTCCCTGTCCCTGGCAGCGTGGCCCATGGCAGGCTTGGGGACAGCTTCCAGGGCAGAATACGAAGGTGTGTAGTTGTTGGGGTCTGAGCAGACGGCCCTCACCTACCTGGGCAGCATGGGTGGGTCTTGTTGGCTAGCCGTCGTTGGCCCATTCTGCTGCCATCGGGGATGTAAGCCACGGTCCCCTGTGGGAAGTTTTCGGATGTCCCCTCCCTTGTACGCCTGCCTTCCAGCCAGCTGTGTCCCCTGCCTGGTGGCCTGAGGCCTAGGTGCTCCAGTCCTTGTCCTGCAGTCCCCAGATTTTGCCTCAGGCCAGGTCCTTGGGGGGGTTGTGTACGCACACACGCACGCATGTACTTTCAGCTTTAGTCCTGAAGGGGTGAGGATGGGGTTGGTGAGGACCAGGAGCATCTAGGCAGCCTCGGGGGAGGGGGGGCCAGGTCCTGGCGGGGGTGTGCGCGCTTTCAGGGTTAGTCCTGCAGGAGTGGGGGGGATAAGGGTGCAGGGTGTGTGAGGGACCATGAGCATCTAGGCAGCCTCAGGGAAGGGCCACAGGGCCCGAAGTCCCTCCATACTCGGGGTGAGTGCCCTCGAGGGGAGGACAGTACTCAGCCACACGCCTGCCCCCAGAATGCCAGCTGATGAAGACAGAGAGGCCCAGGCCCAACACCTTCATCATCCGCTGCCTGCAGTGGACCACGGTCATCGAGCGCACCTTCCATGTGGAGACGCCCGAGGAGAGGTACTGGGGGGCTGTGAGGAGAGGGAACACGTAAGGGTTGGGGGGGGGACGGGGAGACTCTGAAGGGGGGAGACTGGGAGGGCGAGGATGGTGGTGGGAGGAGGGGGAGGGAGTGGGCTGGTGGAGAAGAGACCGGGGTTCTGGCCAGCACGTGGGTGGGAAGGCCAGTGGCAGTCCCCCTGGTGGAGCACCACCCTCAGGGCTGACCTAGGCACACTTCAGGGAGGAGTGGACCACAGCCATCCAGACAGTGGCGGATGGTCTGAAGAAGCAGGAGGAGGAAATGATGGATTTCCGGTCGGGGTCTCCGAGTGACAACTCTGGGGCTGAGGAGATGGAGGTGTCTTTGGCCAAGCCCAAGCACCGAGTGGTGAGTCCCCAAACTGGGGTTCTGGGGTCTCTGCATCTCCCCCAGGAAGCCCTGAGGGCCCCCTCAAGTCCCCTTTCCTGCCATGAGATGCCCACCATGAAACAGATCTCGTTGCAGAAGTGAGATGGACACCTGGCCCTGGAAACCCAGGGGTACCTGTAGGCATCCTCCTGTCCCTCCATGGGACCTGAGCTCTCCCACGACCCTCGAGAGATACCTCATTCCCCTCTCGGGGACAAGTGTTACCTGCCCTCTGCTGGCCTCTGTGGTTCTAAGTGGGCGAGAGTCTGGGCAGGTCCCAGGCCAGCCCTGACCTGGTGCCCTCACTCTGCAGACCATGAATGAGTTTGAGTACCTGAAGCTCCTGGGCAAGGGCACCTTTGGGAAGGTCATCCTGGTGAAGGAGAAGGCCACTGGCCGCTACTACGCTATGAAGATCCTTAAAAAAGAGGTCATCGTGGCCAAGGTGCGGTACTTGGGGGCCACACGTCCAGATGGGGAGGCCTAGGAGTGGGGGACTGGGGATAGGGGACAGTGGGGCCGGTGAACAGGGTACTGTGGATGTGAAATAGTGGGGCCTGAAGGCCAGTGGGTGAGAAACAGTGAGGTTTGGGGGCATGTGGGTGGGGAACTGGGGATGGGAGGCCGTGGGGCTTGGAGGTGGATGGATAGGGGACTGGGGCTGGGGGACTGTGAATGTGGAACAGTGGGCATAGAGGCTGGGAGTTGGGGACAGTGGGGCTTGGGTGGGGAACTGGGGCTGGGGGACTGTCAATGTGGGATAGTGGGGCATGGAGGCTGGGGGTGGGGGGTACAGTCGACTAGGTCCTAAAGGACCAGGCCTTATTGACCACCACCCCTTCAGGATGAGGTGGCTCACACACTCACTGAGAACCGAGTCCTCCAGAACTCCAGGCACCCCTTCCTGACGGTGAGCACCCCATTCCTGGCCCTTTTAGGGCAGGGCACAGGGACCTGGCTGTAGGCACACCTGAGGGGCACCCAGTGCAGCTGGGGCTTCGCTGCTGAGGCCTGGGTTTAGCTGGGGTCCTGGCTCTTGGAGGACCTCACTGGAGAGGAGTCTGTAAAAACTTCACTTTGGCACCAGGGGGGTCCCTGTGAGCTCAATTCCTCAGCCTCTGGGCTGCAGGGTCTGGGGATCTTGCTACGGAAGCATTGGCCTCTTGTGCTGAGTCTCCTGTCTGAGTCCTAGCGCTGTCCCCTCGCAGGCCCTGAAGTACTCCTTCCAGACCCACGACCGCCTCTGCTTCGTCATGGAGTATGCCAATGGGGGTGAGGTAGGACCAGTGAGAGAGGGCCATGTGAGATCCCCAGATACCTGCTCCTGGAGCCTCAGAGCCCTGCCCCGCCCAGAAGGAGCCCCAGACCCTCCTAGCTTCTCAGCACCACAGACCACATCAGCCAAGCCACCCTCACCTGTAACTGAGAAGCCCCACCTGCCCTGCCCACTGCCCCCCAGTTGCCCTCCCCCCTCATCAGGCATGCAAGGCATCCCACCCACCCAGGCCTATCAGAGATGCCTCGCCCACCAGATAGGCCCCTCCTACCCCAGCACAGGCACCGCCCACTGAGGCCCGCCCCGCTGTTGTGTGTGTGATGCCCTGCTCAACACCTTGCAGCTCTTTTTCCACCTGTCCCGGGAGCGTGTGTTCTCCGAGGAGCGGGCCCGTTTCTATGGGGCTGAGATTGTGTCGGCCCTGGACTACCTGCATTCAGAGAAGAACGTGGTCTACCGGGACCTTAAGGTGGGCAAAGGTGAGGCAGGGCACCTGGGACCTGGGAAGCAGTGCTGGACACTCACTGGGTGGCGCCCACAGCTGGAGAACCTCATGTTGGACAAGGATGGCCACATCAAGATCACTGACTTCGGCCTGTGTAAGGAGGGCATCAAGGACGGCGCCACCATGAAGACCTTCTGCGGCACGCCGGAGTACCTGGCCCCGGAGGTATGTGGGGGTGGGGATGCCGGAATACCAGGTCCCCGAGATGTGTGGGTAGGGACACCTGAGTACCTTGTCCCTGAGGTGTGCTCAGGGCTCCTGGGGGGTGGGGTAAAAATGGGGATTCCCAAATACCTGGACCCCCCCCCCGAAGTGTGCTAAGTATCGGGATACCCAAGGACCTGCTCCCCTATGTGCACCTGGGGCTCCCGGTAGGGGGGTGCCCCAGTACCTGGCCTTCGGGGTGTGTGTGTGTGTGTGTGCGCACGCGCGCGCAGCCCTGCGTGGACTGGGGTGTGTTCTGGCACCGTTGATGCTGCCCTCTGAAGTGGGTGACAGGTACACTGGACAGCCTATAGTACTTCCCTCTGCATGTGGGTGTTGGGGGCACACAGTCACTGCCCTGCGACTCCTCGCACACATGCCTGTGGCGTGTGCATGGTGTTGGTGCACCATGCCGGACCCCAGTGCCTGTCCCTGCAGGTGCTGGAAGACAATGACTACGGGCGTGCCGTGGACTGGTGGGGGCTGGGCGTGGTCATGTACGAGATGATGTGCGGCCGCCTGCCCTTCTACAACCAGGACCACGAGAAGCTCTTCGAGCTCATCCTAATGGAGGAGATTCGCTTCCCACGCACCCTGAGCCCTGAGGCCAAGTCGCTGCTCTCCGGGCTGCTTAAGAAGGACCCCAAACAAAGGTCAGTGCTGCCGGCCGTGCTCCGTGGAGCTGGGGTCGGGCACCTCTTGGGTCAGGGCACACAGGTTGGGGCTTCCTTGACCCCACGGCAGGGTGGGGACGGCGGGGTGCCTGACGGGTATGGTCCTCATCGCTGTGTTCCCTCCAGGCTCGGAGGGGGTGCGGAGGATGCAAAGGAGATCATGCAGCACCGCTTCTTCTCCAGCATCGTGTGGCAGGATGTGTACGAGAAGAAGGTGCGTGAGAGCAGCCGGCCACCACCCACACCCCGCTCATGCCGGCCGCTGACGCATATGACCGACCGCGACACGCCCACACTGAGCCCACATACTTACACACATGCACTCACTTGTCCACGTACACGCTCAAGTGTACGCACACTCAGCACACACGTTCACCCACACACTGGCACACGTACATGCACACCAAGGAACCCCCCACACGTGTACACACACTCAAACACCCAGCTCGTTTACATATATACAGATGAGCTGATGCATACCAGTTAGGTACACACTTGGCCACTCGCACCGGCTCAAACACATGAATGACCTTGGCAGTCACACCACCACCCATGCTCACGCTCACTCACACAGGCAGAACGCAGCCGACGAACAGAAAGCCCCCTCACCATGGTCCGCTGCCCCTCCTGGGGTGCAGGGACAGGCCTGTGGCTGTCGCTGTGGGTGAAGGCTGGAGATAGACTGGAACACCTGACCCTGCTCTCCACCAGCTCTCGTCTGCCTGCCCTCAGCCCCTCCTGCTGCAAAGAGCGCACCCTCGGTCTCCTGAGTGTGTGTGGACAGGCCAGCCACCTACTTTCATAGCACCGTGGTGGCTTCCTCTGACACTTTCCCCTCAGGGGGCCCTGGCTCAGCAGACAGTCTGACCCTTGAGCTGTGCCTTCCTTGGCCCTGTTGACCATACCCTGCTCGCTGTGTTAGGCTGCCCAGGGTGGGCTGGGTCTCTCCCTCCAGGTGTCGGCCCTGCCTGCTGCTGGGATCCTGGTTCAATCTGTCCTGAGGCCTGGCCAGAGACCCCGCCTCCATCCAAGCATGCTTTGGGGGGCTTTCATCTCCCTTCTGCAAGCCCAGCACAGTCCTGTCAGCCTCAGGGCCAGGGCCATGGGCAGGCATCTCTGCATCTGACCCACGTGGCCACACCATGCACCGGGCATGCTGACGGCCAGGGCCCTTCTGCCCTCTGGGTGCTCTGAAGCTGGGACAGTGGTTGGAGTAGGGCTCCAGGGTGCAGGGGCTCTTGAAGGGGAGGCGGCCTGGTTCCTGTCTCTCTGTTCTGGGTCAACAGTTGAGCAGCGAAGGGCCCTCGGAGGCCTCTTTGCAGGTTTACAGTGCCTCTGGGCTGGGCTTGAACCCTGGTTGCTGGTGTCCTAACCTGCCAGTGTGGGGCCTGACTGGCAGGTTGGGCTGAGGACACCAGCACCCCACTGGGGCCCAGCCTGTGTTGGGAGACAGGCTGCTCTGACCCCTCCCCTGTCCCTGGGCTGGCACCTGCCCTGACTCACTGTCCTGGCGGTGACATTGTCTCGGCTGTGTCCCCTCACTGGTCCACCAGTGTACAGGGCCCCAGGGCTGAAGCTCTGCCCCTCCTTGAGGGTGAGGCTCTGTGCGTTTAGATTTTAGGAGTGGCAATGAAAACCTTCATGTAGTGCTTGTCTGTCCTGGGTTCATAGGTGTTGATAGCCTGGCCCCCTTCTCCTGGGCAAGGTGGGGTTGGCAATAGCCTGCTGCCTGTAGGGGCTGTGGGGACCCAGCTCTGCTCCGCCCGTCCTTGGCTGACAGAAGCTCAGAGCATCCTCTGGAAGCCCCCAGCAGCCACTGCCGACAACCATGGCCATACCTCATAGGCGTGGGCCTGCCCACTGCCCAAACAGCCTTCGCTTCCTTCCTGGAGTTCTGCCCAGGGGATGGCACCAGGGCCACTGGGACATTGCCCAGTGGAGGCGCCCAGCCAGCCAAGAGCTCAGCTCTGTGACCAGGGAACGGCCAGGCCACTGCCCAGGGGACCCTGGCCTCAGCCCTTCCCTCTCCCTCCCCCTGCAGCTCAGCCCGCCCTTCAAGCCTCAGGTGACCTCAGAGACAGACACCCGGTATTTTGATGAAGAGTTCACAGCCCAGATGATCACAATTACACCACCCGACCAAGGTGAGGTGGGGCTGGGCACAGGGCACTCCACAGCCCCTCCCAAGTCGTGTCCTTTTGAGACAGGTGTGGTGAGGCTGGCCCATCACCGTATCACTGGATGTTTGCAGACCACGTTAAAAAGCCGCCTCTGGGGAGGTCTGGCTGAGGGGTGCCACTCTTCCCAGAGCATGCTGGGGTGTGGAGGCCCCGTGTCCAGGGCTGGGTCAGGGCGGTGGGCTGAGCCTGGCCTACTTTTGCCCACAGATGACAGCATGGAGTGTGCGGACAGCCAGCGTCGCCCCCACTTCCCCCAGTTCTCCTACTCGGCCAGCGGCACAGCCTGAGTGTGGCCGGGGCCGGGGGCCTGGCCACACTTACCGGCCTTGCCGTGCAACGTGTATTTAATTTTATTTCCTGGTGCATCTTCCTCCAAGCCGGCAGGAAGAGGTGGACCTGCGGGTTTTCTTAATTTATTTCATCCAGGTTGTTCTCCGGCTGCGGCCGTGGCACCAGAACCATTAGGTTAAACTAGGAAACAGTTCCCACGTCCGCAGCCAGGCCGGGGCTGTGACAATGGGCCTACCTCCCACTGCGCAGCCCCTGCCTGTCCTGTCGCAGGTCCAGCGCCTCAGCCCAGCGGGCCTGGGACCCTGGTGTCCCCCCTTAGGCCATGTCCTCTGGTGACAGTGACCTGGAGAGAGCAGGCCACACCCCCAGGACAGGAACAAGGCGTATTATGCTGTTGAATGCATTTGGGGGTGTTTTTAATCTTCGTGACAGGAATGGCCCTGGGCCCCCGTGTCCTGTCTGATCGTCACCCTCCATTCCCCATGTAGCACTTGTCCTTTGTAGAGGCTTCCATTTCCGCTGTATGCCCCTGGGCCCCGCTGGGCGCAGCGCCCACCCTGACCCTGGCCCAGCCCCCTTCTGAAGGGGAGGTCCTCCTGCACCCCAGCTGGTCACAGCCATGGCTCCTATGCCATTTGTTTGGGGTTTGTTTTTGGTTTTGTTTTTTTTTTTTACAACATTCAACTTTAGTATTTTTATTATACTATGAAGCTCTTCCTCCAAATTCAATAAAAAATGCTTTTCAATTTTGGGGCTGTTGTCATGTGTTCTGTGGCCAGAGGTTCCAGGATACCAGGAGGAGGGTGTGAGTGCTGCTTCCCTGATGGATTTTGGGGACACTGAGTGGTGGGGCCTCCATAGGAACCAGGTTCCAAGTCCTGGGGGATTGGAGAGGTGTGTGCCAGTGGCTGAGGCATTCCTAAACTTGGGGTGCTGTAAGCAGGTGCACAGGGGGACCACTACCTCTGCCCCCTCCTGCTTGGTAGTCCAGACAACCCACTCAGGACACAGCTTCATGCCTCGGTGGCCACGGGCCCACTGAGGAGCGTGGAAGCCAGGACCTTAATGCGCGAGACCATCTTTGTGATTGGCAGCCTTGTGGGGATGGCCACCCGGGGCACAAGACACACTGGCCTTTGGAGAGGTTGTGTCTGAAGGTGTAAGTGCCCTGCTAGTGGCCTCCAGTCCGCTCGGGCCCCTGTCCAGGCTCCCTGGTGCCTTCTCAGCTTGTAGACTCTGACCTCTGCTCTGTCCTCTCCCGGAAACTCATCTGGGTTTAGGACCTCCTGTTAAGGTGTGAAGTCAAATCAGAGTTGACCCACAGCAGATCCTCTCACAGGTTTTCCAGGCAGTAAATCACGGACGTGGCCCGTCTCCTGTGGAGCTGCTGGTGGATCTGAACCAGTGCCTTTGGCTTGGAGCACAGCTCCCTCCATCCAGGCCCCTGCAGCTCCCTGCAGACTGAGCTGCTGAGCTGGAACCGACCCCCGCTGACTCTGCAGCAGGTTTTCAGTGCACAGTTCACTGCACGGGAGAAGCCAGTGGATGTGCACTTGATGATGCAGTGCAGCTTACCACCGGGCCGTCTGGACCATCACTGCACGTTCCCTTCTCACAGGGTCGGCCACAGCCAGCTGCCCCCAGCCCACCTGAGCCAACACCCTGCCCACCGCAAAGGACTGGAACCCCCATGGGGCCCCAGGTCACAGTCCTGCCCACTCTGGCAGAGCCTGGCATCAGGTCACTGCGTCCATTGTCTGGCTCAGAAGTCGTGTGCCGTTGGTGCCACCTGGTGGCCGCCCAGTGCCAGGCCACTGGCCCCTCGACTGCCAGCAGGAGACCTTAGTGGAGCTGAACCCATGCAGGTGGGATGGAGGGCCACTGTTCTCCAACTCCCAGGGCTTCATTCCCTATCCAGTGCAGTCAAGCTGGCCCACTCTGCCTAACAGGACCATCCTGAGCACATGGGGACCCCACAAGTGTCTCCTGTGTACAGTGCAGGCCTCAGTGGCCCTTGCTGGACAGTGGGTAGGTGACACCTGGTCACCGCGCAGTGGTCAGCAGTGGGTGTGCAGTGTTAAGGGTAGAGGCAAACCAAGCCTGTAGTTGCTGATGGCCGGAAGCAGGACACACAGTATGCATGGCTGGGTCCAGGGACTGCCCCAGAGTGTCAGGAGCTCCATCCTGGTCTGGGGACCTCTGTAGCCTTGCACAGGGTCTAGTCCCCGTGGGAAGGAAGGACATGCCACTCTCCAGGGAGACAGGGGAACAAGAGGTTCTACAGGGGGCTCTGAGTGGTACCCATGTTTTGTGCGGTCCTGGGTCCTCAAGAGTCTGTAGAGACAGCCAGGAGCCTCCTTGTCCAAATATAAAGAGTTTATTCATCAATTTCTGTGTCTGGAGTACAAAATATAAACTAACCACAGGCCCACCCGCCCAGCCGGGCCCAGCCCCGGCCCGCAGTCCTTTGGTATCCACTGAGCCCAGTTCCGCAGCACCGCCCACGGCCTCAGGCTTCAAACATGGAGCAGCCACTGCAGAGCACCCGCTCATGGACATCGTTGTAGCTGCAGGGACCAGAAGGAGAAGGGTCAGCAGAGGACTTCCCCAGGAGTCCAGGGGATACACGTGGCCACTTTTCACCCTAGGCCCAGCAGGACATCACCCCAAAACCTCCTGGAAATCCCACAGGCCCACCACAGTGGTGGTGGGTATGTCCCAGGGTCCACATCCTGTTTTCAGACTCCAAGAGCCAAGCCTAGAAGCTCACTGACCATTGAGATGAAGCCAGAGGACCTGCCACGGCCACCTGCAGACCATCTAGTACAAGCTCTGCCCACTGGGCTCAGCACTCTAGACCTCAGAACAGTGGGGCTGGGCAGAGCGACTGTCTGTTCTGAAGCCCTCTTCCTGTGGTCAGGGAGCTAGAGCCTGTGTGAGCCTGGGAAGGGGTGCTGGAGTGTGGGCACAGAGGCCTGGCCCCTACGTCCTGTGACCTGAGCAGGGCACTGTGTGCCAGAAGGCACGGGACGCTCATGGCCATACCTGATGAGGAGGTAACACAGTACCCCAACTTCTCAGCATGGACACTGAGGGGAGTCGGGTGTGTGGAGACTACAATTCACTGTATCTTCCGAGCTCACCTTTGCTGTACCTACACTCAGCCCTTTACTCCACTGTACTCTAACCTCTGCTGTACCCCCTCATCTCCACTGTACTCGCCCCTCGCCTCCACCGTAGCCCTGGTACCCCCTCGCCTCCCCTGCACCCACCCTCCCGTCCACGGTAACAAGCCACATCTCTAAGAGTACTTGTCCTGCACTTCAGTACACTCTTCCCATTTTCATTTAGTCCTGACCCAGACCTCCAGAACCAGTCCTCTGTGTCATGGTAAAGCCCTTCTCTCTCACACCCTCAGCTGGACACTGGGAGAAACTACAGCAGCCAATGCACAACCTGAGGGGAGTGCAGCTCCTCCCCCTTCCCCGCAGGGGGCTGCACCTGCTTCAAGACACACGGGACAAAACACATCCACATGTGACAGTCACCAGACACACAGTGGCTCAAAACAATCAAGCCAGTAATCAAGAGTCCTAGGCAAGGTCACAAAGTTTCCAGAAAAATCCAATGGGCAAGTTAGGTGAATAAACCAAGCTGACCCCACGTGGTGGTTGTAAGGTGCCCTGTGAACCACACCTGAACCCCGTGCTGTCCTGTCCTCATGCCTGACACCCTGAGCCCACGGCTACACTGTGTCCATCTCACTCAGGGTCTCCCTCAGCCTTCGCTGACCCTCCTTTCCAGGTATAATATCCCTCTCTAAGGACAGCCTCTTCCAGCAATATGCCCAAGTTATGAGACAAAGCCGTGTCATCTTTGCCTCCAGGGAACATTCTAGAGGGACTAAGGAGGGCAGAATTGACACCTCTGCACTGTGGTGTTGGAGAGGGCTGTTCATCTTGAAGTGCAGCTGGGCCTATTGTCAGGAGCCAGGTCCTAGACAAAGACATCATGCTGGGAAAGGTAAAGGATCTCAGGAAGGACCTCAACAGTGACTGCAACAATGACCTTGAGTGTGGGGAAGTCACGGGGGGCACAGGGCAGGGTGAGGAGGCTCTGCTGTGCTCCTGTGGTTTCTGTCCGCTATAACTGACTCCATGGCACTAATGTCATTTCAGGGCCAGCAGAGTGATGCTGAATCAGGTAGAGGCCACAAAGCGGCACTCAGCCCCTGGCTCCTGCAGGCTGGGGACAGCTGTGTGGACACTCACTCAGCAGTGGAGCAGAGGGCACAGGCCACAGCCCCACAGCCCCAGCAGGTGCGCAGACACCATCCACACAGGGGACGCTCGCACTGGCTGCAGGCTGTCTTCCCGTCCACGCTGCGGACGCAGGAGGAGCAGGCCCTGGACGCCACCTCCGACAGGTCTGTGAGGAAAAACACCACTGTCAGCGTCTCCCCACCTCCCACCCGCAGAGGGTCCCCTCCTGGTCAGACCACCACACAGGAGGTCCTGCAGCAACGGCTCTATCTCAAGAGCACCCATCCCAAGTTTGCCCTGGCACCTCAACCAGACCCACCCACCAATCAGAAAGCTCAGTAAGGCACACAAGACCTATCTTGCAGCCAGAAAACAGTCCAGCTGGGTCCTGGCCAGTCCCCAGAGGACACCAGGTGGACAACACTGGTGCTCAGGGTGTGCAGTGGCCTCAGAGCTGGGGTGAATGAGCAGACTGAGTCAGACCTGAGGAGCCTAGGTCCCGCTGGCCCAGAAAGCCCCCAGCCGGCCCCCGACTCACCAGTCTGGGCCCGGCTCCGCAGCAGGCGGCCGCCCGGTCCAATCAGCATCTGTCCTCGGGTGGCCACTGGGACGCCCATTGGGCTGGGCTTTGGGGACTCGGGAAGGTGGACGAGGGGGCAGCTCTCTGCTGAACCTTCATCCCACATGTGGTCCATGCAGGCCTGGGCCCCTTGGTACAAGAGCTGCCTGGTCCTCTCTGTAAAGACAGGGTCATCATCCATGGAGCTCTTCCCAGTCACTGTCCCCTCATCCCCACACTGTCGCCTTCAGCAAATAGGTAACCCCAGCTTCCACCGTGTCCCAGGGAGCTGTGTCCTCCCTCCCTTAGCAGAACTAGTCACCTTCCCCACAGAAAGGTCCTGGATCCTGCGCCTTACGGCCAACCCCACCTCCCAAGCCACCCCACCCCATGCCAACAGCCGCGCCCCCATCGAGCCAGCCTGTAACACCACTTGCCCTCCCATCACCATTCATTCAGAGCCACGCTGCGGCCCCTCTGCCCTAGAGCTGCTCCTCCAGCTTCAGTGAGGCCTCGGCTTGCAGGCCACAAGCTCTCCAAGGAGCAGCACGGAGGCTCCAGGCCTGCCAGCGCCCCTGCACCGGCAGCGGCAGGTGACAAAGACACCCCAGGAGCAAACCCAGCAAAGGCATCCACCCCACCCTTCCCTCACTGGCTGGCCGACACAGTGTCCCCATGGGATGGGCCCCACAGCCTGGCCAGCCAGTCACTACACTAACTGTCAGGCCTAGACCAAGGTCAAGGTGGAGAACCAAGGATTCAAAGAATATCAACCTGTCAACAAAGAAGTGATGGGCCTCGCCCACCTGGCTAAACTACATGGAATGCTCCTTCTTTCCCTCCTTAAAGACCCTTACTATAAAAACCTGCCCTAATCCACCTTCCCTGCTATCTCCCCATTCCTTGCACACTCGGCTACCTGGTCAAACCCTCCCTTCCCCAGCCACCTCTCGATATGATCACCAGTCACTTCCGTGATGCCTTGCACCACACAATGTACATTGTACGCTATTACACTATATACTGTGCACCACACACTGCTGCAGTCTCTCACGCTGTTGTCTGTCTCCTGTTTAGGGGGATGTAAGTCCAAATCCCATGTACCAACTTCAGAGAAAGATTTCTGCTTGAGGCTGTACTATAATTCCAAGGTCTGGACAGGTGTCTTCTAGATCTGATGTGGTGGTGACATCTGTTTGGCCCGAGGGCCTGAAGTAGATCTGAGACTGAAGATATATATCCTCAGAACAGAGCAAGGAAACACTTCATGGTCCAAAATCAGGAAAGGAGTGCGTCAGGGATGCATCCTGTCCCCACACCTTTTCAATCTGTGTACAGAACAGATCATTCTGGAAGCAGGGCTTTATGAGGAGGAGTGCGGCGGCATCAAGACTGGAGTAAGACTCATTAACAACCTACAATATGCAGATGACACAACCTTGCTTGCTGAAACTGAAGAAGACCTGAAGCTCCTGCTGCAAAAGATCAAGGACTGTAGTCTTCAATATGGTTTGAAGCTCAACATCAAGAAGACAAAGATTCTCACCACTGGGCCAATTGGCAGCACCATGATAGATGGAGAGGAAATTGAGGTGGTTAACAATTACAGCTTGCTCGGATCCACAATCAACACTATTAGCACCAGCACTCAGGAAATCAAAAGATGAATTGTATTGGGAAAATCTGCTGTCCTGGACCTCTCCAGAGTGCTGAAGAGTAATGACATCAGCCTGGATACAAAGGTAGATCTAATCCATGGTAAAAACAGACGCCTTTGAGCTGTGATGCTGGAGAAGAGTCTTGAACATACCACGGACCACCAGGAGAGCAAACAGGTCTGTCTTGGAGAAGGTGAAACCAAGTCTCCTTGGAGGCTAGCATTTTGAAGCTCTCTGCCTCACTTTGGGCACGTGGCCAGGAGAGTTCAATCCTCGGAGGACATTATGCTTGGAAGGGTAGATGGACAGCACAGGAGAGGGAGACCCCAGATGAGATGGATACAGTAACTGGGGTGATGGGGTGTGTCGGGGTGAGTGAGGCTGGCTCAGGAGACGGGGTTCAGAGCTGCTGCACACAGGGTCACTGTACACTGCAGGTCACTCAATGGCACAGACAACAACAACGTCCTGTGGCAGGTCTGGCAGCAGGAGCGGCATCCAGCTCCTAAACATGCCTCCGGAAACCCTGGACAGCTGCAGAGGGGCGGCAGGGTCGCTAGGAGGCCGACTGGGGGGTGATCAAGCACAGACCCCCGGGCTGTCTCTCTGCAGGCCGAGGACTCCCGCCGGAGCCCCCTTCATAAAGCCTCTTCAACTTTCTTTCTCTCTGATCCCTTCCTTGAGTCTTTGGCCTTACGTCCAGTGCGAAGATCTAACGACATGAATGAACTGGCCGCGGCCGGGTGGACAGGTGACTCTGCAGAGGTGGGCCGGTTCCCACGCGAGCATCACCAGGCCAAGTGGGGGTCAGCACGGAGCACCTACGACCCTCTGCGCGCGCCCCACCCG